TGAGTAACACAGGACGACACATCTGTAACACCTGGATCTAACCTGAGTAACACAGGACGACACATCTGTAACACCTGGATCTAACCTGAGTAACACAGAACGACACATCTGTAACAGCTGGATCTAACCTGAGTAACACAGGACACATCTGTAACACCTGGATTAAACCTGAGGAATACAAGACACATTGTAACACCTGGATCTAACCTGAGTAACACNTAATACAAGACACATCTGTAACACCTGGATTATACCTGAGTAATACAAGACACATCTGTAACAGCTGGATTATACCTGAGTAACACGGGACACATCTGTAACAGCTGGATTATACCTGAGTAATACAAGACACATCTGTAACACCTGGATTATACCTGAGTAATACAAGACACATCTGTAACACCTGGATTATACCTGATTAACACAGGACACATCTGTAACAGCTGGATTAAACCTGACATACACAGGACACATCTGTAACACTTGGATTATACCTGAGTAATACAAGACACATCTGTAACACCTGGATTATACCTGATTAACACAGGACACATCTGTAACATCTGGATCTAACTTGCTTCACCTGGAAGTGGATGAAAGTCTTGAATAACTGTGAGAGAGAACACCTCTGTGAATTCATAAACTCTGCATGTGGATAAAAGTTTTGGTTCTGTTGTACTTTTTAAAAAATATATCTGCTAGTATTTTAATTTTCTTGTTTCACATTTAACTTAACATACAGACTAAGCTGATTCCAGTTGTTAATTGCAAAGCAAGATTGCACATATTCTGAGTAAAATTGCAACAACTCCATCATTTCCCATCATAATATGATCTCAGTTTAAATCTCTTATATTAAAGGTGGCAGATGATATGCGCTTCTTCAAGAAACACTGTGCTTTAGACTGTAGAAAGCCTTCACTGCAGCCCTGTAGTCATAATGTTATGACTGATTTTAAATCTAATGATCTGATGTGAGACTCCTGCCAGCATCAGAGAATCTGAGCCAGTCATGTGTCTGCCTGCTGTGTGAAGGGACACTCACTCTCTCTCTATCACACACACACACACACACACACACACACACACACACACACACACACA